GGGACCTTTGAGTGATCATCTGTATTTTTCCCCGAAATTTGAGTAAAAAGGTGGCAGAGCAATCACAGGCGTGTCTGGAGCTGGGTCACCCCGCTGTCCCCAGGGGCCAATTTTGTGCTGCTGGGCTTTGCTGGGGTGGGACGAGCTGGAGTGAGAACAGGCAGGGTGTTTTGGGTCCATTTAGGCTTTATTTGGGTTTCGCTGGTCACAACTCTGACGACTGCCCCCCCCGCGACTCCCGGCCTTGGGATGCCTTCGAGGTTCACCAAGTTTGTTGGAGGGACCCCTTCACCTCTCCCTCCCACCCTGCACCGTGGGGGATTGTCCCCCCTGTCCCCGGGAAGCCTGGGCTGAATGGGGCTTATCACTTGTGAAAAGTAACAAGTCACCCAAGTGGGAAGCTGCAGCCGAGGGGAACAAAGGGCGGCTCTGCCCCCACCTCCCTCATTTGCAATTCCAATGGGCCATGAAAGCGCCCGACCAGGATGAACTTTGGAATTAGGCTGTCCCAGGTCCCCAGCATCCTGTTCCTCCTGTGTCCCCTGGGGCAGGTGAGCTCGAGCGTTTCTTGCCTGATGATCCTTTATCCTGGACACGTGTTGCTCCTGGTGCAGAAGTAAAGCCCTATCCCAGTTTCAGGGGACTGGGTGCAGGAATGTGGAGGGAAAGCTCCTTCCTGCGCGATGCTGTTGGAAAAGTATTTAATCACGTAATCCCTTCTGGCGGTCACAGAGTGGCTTTGCAGCACATGAGCAAACTTCTGTGGGATGGCAGCGGGGAGATCGTCTGTGGGCAGCCCTGGCAGGGTGATGAGGGGTGGCCAGAGGCTCCCAACTAATGGTGACTTCTTTCTTTTTTTTTTGCCATGTCTATTTTGAGCAGAAGGCGAGGAGATTGACGTGGTGACGGTGGAGAAGAGACAATCGCTCAGCCTGAAGAAGCCAGTCACCATCACACTGCGCGCTGACCCCTTGGACCCCTGTATGAAACGCTTCCACATCTCCGTCCACCAACAGCAGCACAACTATGCCGCCCGCTCACCACCAGACTCCTGTCCCCTGCCAGAGCCACCCCAGCAGGATGAGGACAAGCCACTGAGCTCTGCGGAGCCAGCCCCTGCCGTCACGCTGCCTGAGCCCAGCTTGCCAAAAGCCAGCAGCAGCCCCGGCTCCGACAGCGAGGACGTGGCCAAGAGGAAAAACCACAATTACCTGGAGCGCAAGCGGCGCAATGACCTGCGCTCACGCTTCCTGGCACTGCGGGACCAGGTGCCCGGGCTTGCCAGCTGCCCCAAGACGCCTAAAGTGGTGATCCTGAGCAAATCCTCCGAGTACCTGCAGTCGCTCATCAGTGCCGAGAGGCGGTTGGCAGCCG